AAGTGGTGACCCCGACGCGCAAATTAAAAAAACTTACAGAACTAATTTTTTAAAAGAAAAAAAGGGCAAAGTAAGATTAGTTTTAGAAACGCTAAACAACATTCACTAAAACTATTAACGGGCTTATCCAACACGCACATCGTCATCACAAGTTGCAGAGCAAGAGTACTTGGAACAGCTAAGGTGGTGATTCCGTTGGAAAATCGAGCAAAAACACTACAAAGCAGTGCATCTTACGCAAGAGTACACGAGCAAGCTGCGTTCCAGACAGGCACACGACAACATGGCTGTAAATGCAGAACAAACTGTAAATCCATCAGTAGACTCCACTGTAATGAACATGAGACACAATGTGAGATTCCCGAACTTCAATAAAACCAACCCATTAGTATGGTTCGCGCAACTGGAACGAGTCTTTCGTTTAAATAATATTCGAGGAGACACAGACAAATTTGATTGGGTGGCAGTAAATTTAGATGAAGACATTGTGGTGATTGTTGAAGATCTAATTACAAATCCCCCAACGAACAATAAATATGAAACACTCAAGGCACGTTTGTTGGGGAAATTTGCGGAATCAGCCGAATCCAAGTTGCGGCGCCTACTACAAGGTGGAGATACTACAGGTATGAAGCCGTCGGAAATACTTTCGAACATGAGACGTCTTGCACCGGATCCAAATAGCGAACAAATTATTCGTACGCTTTTTCTCAGCGAAATGCCCAAATCGATTCGTCCGGTATTGGCAATTTGGGAAGAGGATGATCTAAATAAACTTGCCAAGTTAGCTGATAAGATGCTGGAGGCTTCAACAACAAACGCAATGTACATGTGTGAAGTATCGCCACAGGCTAAGCAGGCCACGACAACTGTGTGCAGCACAGCACATAATGATTTGTGCACAGCTGTTCAACAACTGACCGACCAGGTTAAAAAGCTGCAAGTTGAAGTTAGCCAACTCAGGAAAGCAATCACGAGTCGCAACAGTTCTCGATCGTGCTCACCCAAAACTGTAAGCGATGTCAACGGTCAACAGCGACGTCATGGCAAATTGTGTTACTATCACACCAAGTTTAGAGACGGTGCCATCAAGTGCAAGCCAAGCTGCTCACGATGGGCACCTTTAAACTAAAAAAGCTGTCGTCAAACACACTGGTTGATAGCAGTAGCAAACAACTTGACCACATAACCAGTGATTCATCAGTAGCAGAAAAACAACCACTTATAAATAGTGAACGTCTTTTTGTCGTCGATCGCAAATCATGTTTTCGTTTTTTGGTTGACTCGGGCTCAGTTGTATCAGTAGTGCCATGGCATTTGATGAAATTCAAAACAACACAAGAAGAGCTCCAACTATACGCAGCGAACCGAACTCTCATTACCACTTTTGGCAACAACATAATGGAATTAGACCTAGGTTTACGGAGATCATTTAGGTGGCAATTTATCATCGCTGATGTCGAAGTTGGTATTATTGGTGCTGATTACTTAAACCATTTTCATTTGTTAGTTGATCTGAGAAACAAACCACTTATAGACATGACGACGAAGCTTAACACACGAGGTGATCTTTCAGCTTCTCCGCCATCAACCATATCTACAATAGATGAGACAGCCAAGTTCAGCAATCTGCTCAAAGAATTCGTTGATATTACACGACCAGTGTTGAAACAGTCACTTCACGACACTCAAAAGCATGGGGTGACTCGTCAAATTGAGACAAGAGGCAACATTGTATTTGATCGTCCCAGAAGGTTATCTGGACAGAAACTTGCTGTGGCAAAAGCCGAAATCACTCTATTACTGGACCAAGGTATTTGCCGTTTGTCAAAAAGTCCATGGGCAAGTCCCCTACACATGGTGGCGAAAAATAATGGTGGCTGGCGTGCTTGTGGCGACTATCGAAAGTTGAACGCAATAACGATACCGGACAGGTATCCTATCGTTCATGTGCATGATTTTGCGGAAAAGTTACACAACAAAACGCTGTTTTCAGCACTCGACTTGGTGAAAGCATATTACCAAATCCCAATGGCAATGGACGACATTCAAAAAACTGCTGTGAGCACACCTTTTGGCCTGATTGAGTTCCAGTACATGCCGTTCGGATTGAAAAACGCGACGCAGACATTCCAACGTTTCATGGACCAAATTTTTCGAGGCCTTGATTTCGTGAATTGCTATATTGACGACATTCTCATAGCTTCAACGTCCATAGAGGAACATAAACGTCATCTCCGAACAGTGTTTACCATTTTGCGCCAACATAGACTCAGGATAAATGTCAATAAATGTCAATTTGGTAAATCGGAAATTCTCTTTCTGGGCTACACGGTCAGCAAGAATGGCATTAAACCACCACAGGACCGCATTGAAGCAATAGTGAATTACAAACAACCTGACACAGTCAGTGACCTAGCACGGTTTCTAGGTGTTCTGAATTACTACCGGCGTTGTATACCACACTTATCGCAACATCAAGCACAGCTTAGTGATCTGGTACGAAACATCAAAAAGAATGACAAACGAAAAATCTCTTGGACTCCCGAAAGTCTCGATGCGTTCAATAACTGTAATCACAGCGTTGCGAATGCTGCACTAATTGCACATCCAGCACCTGATGCTGAGCTGGCACTTATCTGTGATGCATCTGACGTTGCTATTGGCGCGGCCGTAGAACAATATGTCCAGGGCACTTGGGTACCACTCGGATTTTTTTCGAGAAAACTCTCAGCAACTGAAAAAAATTACAGGGCATATGATAGAGAATTATTAGCAATCTACAGCGCCATTCGTTTTTTCAAACACCTCCTAGAGGCACGAGTTTTCGTCATTAAAACGGACCACAAACGCTGATATATGCTTTCAAACAGAAACCAGAGAAGACGTCACCACGACAGCTCCGCCATCTCGATTATGTTTCCCAATTTTCAACAACCATTGTACCTATCTGGAAGTGACAATGCTGTGGCAGATGCTCTTTCCCGCATTTCAGCTGTATCGCTGCCAACTGCTGTCAGTTTATCAACCGTTGCAGAGGAACAACAAAACGATCAAGAGTTAAAAACGCTGTTGCACGGGGAAACATCTTTGAAACTGCATGCAATTGTTTTCAACGACAAAAATTCTTTGTTCTGCGATGTGTCTACAGAAACAATTCGGCCATACGTGCCAGTATCTCTGCGTCATAAAGTTTTCGCATCAATTCACGGCATGTCACACCCCAGTGGAAGATCCACCCTGCATCAGATAAAACAAAAATACGTCTGGCCTTCCATGCGAATTGATATAGTTGAATGGGCGCGAAATTGTTTACCCTGTCAACGAGCAAAAATACACAGACACAATAATTTTCGGCCAATTAAAATCGACATGCCAGACAACCGTTTCGACCATGTACATATCGACATCATTGTGATGCCAATGGATAAAGGGTATCGCTATTGTTTAACAATGATTGATCGTTTTTCAAGGTGGCCTGAAGCTATACCTTTAAAAGACATTACGGCAAATACCATAGTATCTGTTTTTTGGTCAAACTGGGTGGCGAGATTTGGATGCCCGCAAACCATAACAACGGACCGGGGCCTACAATTTGAATCAGCTTATTTCAAAGCCATGACCAAAATGATAGGAGCAAAACACGTCCATACCACGTCATACCACCCACAGGCGAACGGTATGATTGAACGCTGGCACCGTTCTTTAAAAACAGCACTAATGTGTCACGAAGTAGAATCCTGGATAGAATTACTACCAACAGTCCTGCTAGGCCTACGAACGTGTTTCAAGGAAGATCTGCAAACTTCAACTGCTGAGATGCTGTATGGTTCCCCGATTCGACTACCGAACGAGTTTGTTGAGGACGACCAACAATGCACCAGTCCGCAGATTTCCATAGAATGGTTTCGCAAACACATGCGATTAGTGCGACCAATTCCCGCAAAACATTTTTGTATATAAAGCATTTAATTACCATTTTGTACAAAAAAATTGTAATATAAATTTAATAACAAGTTTTAGTACATAATTACAAAACTATAATTAAACAAATTTATCAAAATTTTACTCACTTCAGCATTTTCAAATTTTCAAAGTTTATTTTGAATAGATTTTGACATTTCTTTTTAACTTCTTCTAAGATGTTAAAAAAATTTAGGATATAAACCTATTTGAAGAGTTGCACAGAAAAATAATTACTATTTCTATGGAGATAAAAAAATAATCAAAAGGAAATTAATTTTGTATGGGAAATCTGAGCTTAAATACGAGATTAATACTTTAATCTCTATTATTGCTTTAAACTTCTTTTAATCGCACAATGTAAACGTGGTGTTACTCTATTATGTATCATACTAAAGTATGATTCACTATACAAAGTGCGTTCCTATATAAATGAGCTTATTATCAATAAACCAATTCATTTGAGTCGAAAAATACGAAATGCACAAGGAAAATTACTAAAATTTGAAATATGTGTTATATGTGTGGTGCTTCTGTATTACCACTTTATTAATTATTAAAGCACTTTGAAATGTTTGTTGTAAATGTTTATTATTTTGCAAGCATTTATTATTTTACACGTAATTATGTGATTTTTTCTTTTGCTTTTGAGAAAACTCGCTAAATACCAGTGGACACTGGACCATTAAGTTATACTTTGGTTTTTACATCACACCAGATGGCGTTGCGCTGGTTAATGTGTTCGCCACATATGTTTCATATGTATAATGTAAACAAACAACAGTTGAGCTGTACATAACCGTACTGAGAAAGTAAGTATTTAATAAAATCTTCGTTTTTATTAATTGATGTAATTGATATATAAATGAGAGATAGTGAGATAGTGCGAATGCACTATTGGCAACCTTAAATAAGTTAACTGGCCTAACGAAAACAATGAAAACATACTGTAAATGAGACAATTGGAAACATGATATAATTCAGCCTCAATGTATTTTGAGCTAGATTGTGTATATACTCTTATTACAACCATCGATATGTGAAATTGTATAAGCTGTAGAGCAGATCGTTTTTGGTTAGGCATACGTAGCTGGAATTAAAAACATAATAGTACAAAAAAATTATTGACAGAAAAAGTTATGTATACTAAAGATATACAGCAACAAAAAAAGCAAGCATTGAAAAGTTTTCTCTTAGAAGTAGTTGGTCTCAGTGTTTTATACTATTTTGGACATATGTGCGATGCAAATATATATATATGTAAGCATGTTAAGCAGTTATATAATATAGTCAAGCAGTAGCAGTGGTTAAGATCAGCAGTCAAGTAAAAGTCGGTCAAGCAGTTTTATAGTCAAGCAGTAATGGTAGTGGTAGTGAAGTCAGTAGTCAGCAGTCGGCAGTAGGCAGTTAAAGAGTAAGGTCGTGTATATAATTGGAGCTTGTCTTTTACATTTGGGTGCTCAACCAGGACACACGCACACTATGAAGAAAACAGATATACCTCGAGAAGTAGCCCAATGGATTTTTTATCTACAAGACTTTGAGTTTCAAGTCGAACATCGACGTGCAGAAAGGATGAACATATAGATGCACTTAGTCGTAATCCAATTGAAATAAACATCATTAAATCAGAGGTTTCTGCTAGAATTGGGTATTATTCGTTTTGATAAACAAGGAGTTCGGTCTAAATTTCTGAATTGTCACGAAAATATTTGATTATAATTTCAAAATATTTACATTTTTCAACACTAAAAATGTTAGAGATAAATTAAGAATTTTATCAGCTGTTTTTGTTGTTGCACTAATAATAGCATTTCCAATCGCATTTCAGTAATAAATTAGTTTCTAGCAATAAAATTGTTTTTTATAGTAATTAGTCATAATAATACATAAGCAACGAATGAGATTCAAAGAACTGATACTAAATTGAAAATTTAAATATGTTTCCGCATAATATGTAAGTCTCAGATGTATGCGCGGTACTTACATGTAATAATTTGAACTGAGCAATCTACGTAAGCCGGCTTATCGGAGCAATGCATTTAGACGAAAAAATAATTATATGCTGTCTGATAGGGATTATATATATAATTGTTAAAACATGTAAATTACAACAAAAAAACAACAAAAATTAAATTCTTCGTTGTGCGTATTAAGAATTTCACAACAGTGTTTTGCAATAAAAAAAAAAGAAGAAGAAAAACGAAAGCAAAAAGAGAAAAAGATTCGCGCTTTGTTAATTGAATTAATTTGTTGATATTTGGTATTTGGTTGCGGCGACGTTGCAGTCGTCAACAGAGCCTAGCGTTTTGAGTATGAGCAACAGTATTATAGATATGTATTACCAGTGGAATTGGACGGAATTCTGTCCAACTGGCATCAAGCCATTTTCCAACAGTTCAAATGATTTACTGCCGTGCTTCCAGGAAATTGTGCTCCAATTTCCTGTGTACGCAATATTTGCAGCAATTTCGGCATATAATTTTGGCGCATTTGTGCGTATGGTGACAAGGAATCCACTACAATTGCGTTTAATATATGCACGCATAGTCATCACTGTTGTACTAGCACTGCTGCCAGTGTGTAAGATATTCGTATTTCATCATTATGGCGTGCCAGTAACAGCTGTTGATGTGCTTATTGTGTGCGCGGAATGCCTTATGTGGATTGTACATGCTGGTAAGTGTCGAAATGTTAGAGATTATTAAACGCCAAATAAAATTCTACACATTTTTCCTCTCAATATTGCAGGCTATCTGCTGGCAGTGCGTAAATTTGGTATATTAAGTCATCGTGGTCCGCTGTATATGAATGTACTTTGGCTGTCGATCTTTGTTTTGGATGCTATTTGGTTGCGTACAAGTTTAAATTATGATTGGTGGCCTTGGAGTTTAACTACGTTAATATTTGATATACTCTATGCTTTGACACTTTTACCAAAAGGTAACGCCACATTCACTCCACCACAATTTACACGGGATTCCGTAAGTAACTAATTTTGTGAATTGAAAAAAAAAAAAAAATGCATATAAAATTATATTCAGGAACATGAAGCACTGCTCGCCAATCGCTATACATACTTTCAATTTGATTTCAATGAAGCACATTTGGGACATGCACAGGATGAAGCTAATATTTTGGGGCGTTTATTTTTCAATTGGGTAAATCCATTGATTACTAAAGGTGTGTCGGGTAGCTTAAGGAAAATTGAAGACTTATTCGATTTGCCTGATTCGCTGAATATCGCACGTCTAAGTGAAAGTCTACAGCTTAGCATTTCACGAACAAAAACGTTGTTCTGGGCATTGCATAAATCTTTTGGACGTGAATTTTATGCAATCGGTATTTTGCGTTTTATTGCAGATGCAAGCGGTTTTGCTGGTCCATTATTATTGGGTGGTCTGTTAAGCCAGCAGAATGTGACAAATGAAGAGCAAGTTAATGCTACACCCTATTTGTATGCTTTTGGACTTTTTGCTACAAATATGCTATGTGAGTTTATGTTTTATTATGTATATATTATTTATTTTATTTAAAGTTTTTAATTTCTCTTTGCAGCTGCTTTCTGTGGCACACATTTTAGGTGGCGCATGTCCATAATTGGTATGAAAATGCGTATTGGTGTTGTTAGTGCAATATATCGCAAAGCTTTGGAAGCACGCGGACTCAAAGATTCGCGACCAGAAATTTTAAATCTCATGTCAACTGATACTGATCGCATTGTGAATTCTTGCATCAGTTTTCATTCCTTTTGGAGCATACCACTCCAAGTAAGTTTGAACAATGCTATCAATAATGTGTATGAGCTTATCATTTTTTTCCTATACTTCTCACACATTCTAAATGAGTTTCTATAGGATTGTGTGAGGATAGTGGCAAATTAATTTTATGTTTACAATATGTTGTGGCTTAGATTTCTTCTAAGACACAGTTTGGTGTTGACATTAGAAAAATAGACTAGATTATAGTTCCTAAGGACTGAAATAAAATAAAAAAAACAAAATAAAAAAACGGCCGTGTGTACATCTCGGACTCACTCGTCGCCAGCGACGACCTAGTGCCGTTGGACACTTCCTAAAAGGACTACACAAGCAGGTCTCAGCGGGTTACAACAACAACAACATAAAATAAAATAAGACGAGACATTAAATAGATAAATTGAACAGAACCGTTCAAAGAATCGTCTTATTTTAAAACATCAAATACGTAGTAGAATTTCATATTGGAATGCTATTTTTGATAAACTTTTTCTTTAATGAAGTTATATCAGGGATGTTGTTGTTGTCTTTGCAATAGACGTGCTTGTTAGGGCCCTGGTGAAAGTAGTGGATGGTAGTTATATTTTTCTATCAATAAGATAATGCATAAACGACCTAAACTATTTAATTATTTATACAAATAATCATATAATAGAATTTTTAAATTGTATTTAAATTAACATCACACAATTAAAATAATAATAATTAATATTGTTTTTCTTTTATAGCTCTTTACTACATTATATCTATTATACACACAATTAGGCGCTGCTTTCATAGCCGGCGTAGTTTTTGCTGCAGCGCTTATACCCATTAATCGTTGGTTAGCTCAACGTATTGGCTTGTATTCACAAGGTCTAATGACCACAAAGGATGCACGTTTGGCTGCTACCAGTGAAACCATGCATGGCGCAAAACAAATTAAATTGCATGCTTGGGAGGATATATTTATTGATAAGATACGTTTGCTACGTAAAGATGAGGTCAATTATTTATCCAAGCGAAAATATTTGGATGCACTTTGCGTATACTTCTGGGCAACCACACCAGTATTAATGTGTTTCCTAACCTTTGGAGTTTCTGTATTAATGGGGAATCCATTAGTTGCTTCCACTACGTATACAAGTGTCGCATTATTAAATATGTTAATAGCGCCACTCAATGCTTTTCCGTGGGTACTTAATGGTTTGATTGAAGCTTGGATATCTGTAAAACGTGTACAGGAATTGATTGATGTGAGTAGTTGAATAGTTTAATTTTTAAAAAAAAATTGTATTTTTTTATATATATTTCAGTTACCCAACATTGATTTCTCCACATATTATAATCCAATAATGAAAGTTGCTCCCGTGAAACTTGAAGAAAAGCCTATTGTCCTCCAAATGAAGAATGCAACTTTTGAACCGGACTCAATTAAATTGAATACTGAAGCGCAAGAGAGTTTTCGTTTGGAAAATGTTAATTTAGATATAAAAAAGGTGAATATATATAAAGTATTATTAAACATAGAGAAAAAAAAACAAGACTAGCAACTCGGAACTCAACTCGTTTTGATCTCTGAGTTTTTAGTGTAATTAAAAACATATGAATCCTTCCGATTTTATAAAAAGTAAGAGATATCATTCAACCACTGAACAATTAATTACTTTTTTTTTAAAGAAAGGATTGTATATTATAAATTACATTATTTGATTGCGACAAACAATTATATATATCACAAAATAATAATGTTTTAAATTCACGATTTATCCAGAACGAACTTATATGCATCGAAGGTCCTGTAGGCGGTGGCAAGAGTACTTTGATATCAGCTATTATAGGTGGAATTAATTGTATTGATGGAGAAATCTGTGTAAATGATTTAACTTCTGGTAAATTTAATTGTTAGTGAAGCTTCACATTAATTAATTTTAATTGTATATAATTAAAATTTACAGGATTTGGTTATGTACCACAGACGCCTTGGTTACAGCGTGGCACAATACGTGATAATATAGTGTGGGGAGCAGTGTTTGATGAGCAATGGTATAAATCTGTGCTTTTTGCATGTGCACTAGTTGAAGACTTAGAGACGCTCGGTGGTGATTTGGTAGGCATTGGTGAAAATGGGCGAACATTATCTGGTGGGCAGCGCGCAAGAGTAGCACTCGCTAGAGCAGTTTATCAAGATAAAAAGTGTAAGTTTAATTATTATTACTTGGAAACGATCTAAATGCGATTATATTCATGGTTATATATGCATTTATACTAAATAGTTATTGATATTAGGGAATAGTCCTTTAGTCCTTTATTTGAAATCATTTCATACAAAAGCATTATATGATATAGAGGGAAACTGATGAATATAAAGAATCATTATTATAAAATGACGACGATATTAATTCTGACAAATTTATATAAATATTTCCATTTGTAGTAATAGTTGTTGCTACAGATAATATAAAAAAATACATGGTTTAGGATGTATAAGAGTAATAGTTGTGTGAGAGGGAAGAGAATTTTTAAAAAGTGCGAGTGGGTTGAAGGATGGGTTAATTTGTAGTAGAAATGTATTTAACATATTTAGAAACATATTTATATTCTCTTCTTCTCTTATCCTCTTCTCTCGGTGAAGCATAGATAGATATTATCAGATATTATTCCAGGAATAATTGGCTTCTCTTAGGTCTTCCTTAATTGTCCTCCTCCAAGTTCTAGCAGGCAAATCAGGTGGACCTCAGAGCTTGACGTGCAATGTAAAAACTTCTAATTTATTTTAGTATTTGTGTCAAGCTTAGTATATAAGAGTATTTTTAGCTTTTTATTTTATAACCATATATTGTAAAAACATATTTATAAATATATATATTTATGTATTAATATTTATTTCTTATTACAGTTTACCTGTTTGACGACATTTTAGCTTCGGTGGATGCACATGTAGCACATCATATCATCAAACATTGTATACTGAGTTTATTAAAAGATAAAACACGTATTATTATTACACGTAGTGTGTCATTATTCTTCCATGCAAATCAGGTATGTGAAGTGCATTTCTATGGTTTCATTTCCTTTAGATTATCTTATCACTTTTCTTCTTTGAAGATTTTGCACGTTGAAAATGGTAAAGTAAGTCTAAGTGAATATATGTCGGAGAGTATTGATTTAAGTTTGGAAGCATCTGATGAAGAGGATGCGGAAAATGAATTGAGAAGAAATTCTATCAATTTGGATGAATTACAAAATTCAGATGAAAAGAAAAGCTTAGATAGTATTATGCTTGAGGTAATTTATAAAATATTAATATAATTTATATAATTTAGTTTGGAGTTAAGTAATTTACTTAAGTATTGTTAAAGTTCTAAATATACGAAGCCTTGTTTTAGTAACAATAGTTAGTATCTAAGCATTTCCATGGTTATTCTGCTTAAGTGTGTTCAATTTAATCGTCGATCATTATTACTAAAGATTAAGATTTACTGCGATCACAATAGATGTATTATGCAGAGCCTTACGATTTAAAATTTATAATTTTGGCATATTATACATTTTAACACAGTTCGGGATTTGTTACTCTAAAACTGGTGTTGTAATTTATAAATTACTGTAAAGTAATTAGATAAAATATGTATGTCTAGCTTTGCTTAGCGAAAGAACCTTTTTATATATATTCTTTGTTAGGCAAACTTATTTTTTTCGCCCCTTCCTGTTAACTTCGATAAAGTGGCTTAGATAAATCGCGACAAATTTAGAGAATGTTTGCTTTTCTTTAGCTAGATAACCATCTCTACTGTTCTCTGTAATCAGGAACCCATTCTAATTTTTAAGTTCTCTAACGTGCATACATTTACTATAGTCGGCGATAAAATATCCTATTTTAGACGATTTAAAAAAAAAGTCTTCATTTATATGTAGGAGATGTTCCTTTTTAAGACGATTTGCAGATACGGTTTTCATTTATATGTCAGTGATGTTGGTTGGTTACAGTGGCAGGCCATTAGATAATTTCCATGTACTTCAATTAGCGATTTTTCGCAAATTCCGTTTTGCTATCACATTCTTCGAAAGAACCCTAGTATAGAAGAGTAGAGACTTAATCTATTCCGCCGAATTTAGATAATTTAATAGGTCTTTCGTCTTCACCGATGAACAGTCTGATAAACTATCAAAGAAGTATCTTTCTAAGAACCTATATCTTCTGGACCCCACAGAGAAAATGTATTATGACTTCTTTTTCCTGCGGGGGGATTATGCAGTGAGGATTATGGGGAATGCGCAGTTTCTTTGCGTGGGTTCCTATACACCAATGACCAGAAAGAACTGCCGTAAGCCTTGCAGTGTGATGTTGAGTCTTTTTTAAGAAAAAGTAAATAAATATACTGAATTCTTTTAAATTATTTTTAAGATTTTTTATTGAAAAAGACTGAACTCTTCTCAGAAAGTATAAATATTTTCCACTTTTCCTTTTTAACTTCCCTTTTTATTTGACTTTTGGTTTAATTTTTAATCCTATCTATTAGTATAGTAGCAGATTATGTCTACTTTTTATATAAGATTTTTTAATGTCTTTCTAATATTCACGCCTTCTATTTGCTGTTTTGATGTTAAAATTAAAAAAAAAAATATTTATCTTTCATATTCTGGGGGAAATGAACGTTTACCGTCTTCATGTCCAGTTTGCTGGTTCGACGTTCTTCAAAAGGACTATATTGTATACATTTTGGAAAAATTCAAATAATTATTTTAATTAGCCAAACTTTCTCTTGCGGATATTTATATCGTTGTCATTTGTGTGTAGTTATATCTTTCGAGATAATGATTATAAAACTAATTTATGTCATATTATTGATTCTTTATGTTGACTATCGAATATTTAATGTTATTCACATGCTATCATATTAATAACAAGCCAGATTCTTCTTTTTTAATTAGTTTATTAGAGAAAATCTCGTGTTTTTGTTTGAAAAATCGTTTAGGATGCCCTTTAATATTTATATCTAGTAACTTATTAGTTATTTTAATAGATCTAGACTACAGATCTATAGTTTAAATAATCCAAAAATATGTAATAATTTATTTTATATAATTTCTGCAGGAATCTCGAGGGTACGGTAACATATCAGTTTCCGTATTTTCTTGTTATTGGAAAGCCGTGACTACACCTTTAGTTCTGACAGTGATTTCTCTGGTAATCCTCATGCAATTGTCGCGTAATATGTCCGATGCGTGGTTAGCGCATTGGGTGACAGATACGACAATAAAAGTGCGCGAAAGTCTACGTACTCCAGTGAAGGAAGTATCAATAAATGCCACAATGTTGACAGCACATTCAACAACTTACTATTTGAGCATCTTTGCAGCGTTGGCATTGTCGAATTCTGTACTAACATTGGGTCGAGCTTTCCTATTTGCTTATGCGGGCATAAAAGCAGCCAAGTTCATACATGATCGTCTATTAAACAAAGTCATATTTGTAAGTAAAACAAAAAAGAAAGTAAAACTTAAGCTAAAAAAAATTAATATATGTATATGTATGTATTTTGCAGGCTAAATTTAACTTTTTTGATATCACATCGGTGGGGCGTATTTTAAATCGTTTCTCATCTGATACATACACAGTTGATGATTCATTGCCATTTATAATGAACATACTGTTAGCACAAGTGGTGGGGTTAGCTGGTATTTATTATCTGCTTTACTGTAAAATGAAACGTTCTTAACAATATTAAATTCTTTGCAGGTGCGCTGTTTATCAGTTTGTATGCCATGCCGTGGCTTTGTTTGGTTGTCATACCAATGGTACCTATCTATTTGAATTTACAATATCGTTATCGTCACGCTTCACGCGACATCAAACGTTTATCGAGCAATGCTTTATCACCGCTCTACACACACTTCACCGAAACCTTGCAGGGATTGTTAACAGTACGCACTATGCGTGCTAGTTCACGTTTCCAAAGAGATTTCCATGCCAAACTGGAAGAAAGCATTAAGGCACAACTTACTGCAGCTGCAGCACAATCATGGCTTTCTTTGCGCCTGCAATTACTAGGTGCTTTATTAGTTGGTGCTGCTGGCTTGCTGGCCGCAATAACCTCGGCTCATACCACAAATCCTGGTTTGGTTGGTTTGGCTATATCGTATGCACTCTCGATAACTGTTTTGTTGGGTGGAGTTTTGAATTGCATTGCCGAAACTGAACAGGAATTAATAGCAGTAGAGCGTGTTAATGAATATTTACAATTGGAGGGCGAACAAAATGCAGAAGGCAGTGCTGATCCACCATTTGGTTGGCCATCACAAGGTGCACTTACATTTAAAAATGTAGGCTTACGTTATCGTGAGCATTTGCCAACGGCTATACACGATGTTACGTTTAAGACTGAAGCATTTGAACGTATCGCTATTGTGGGTCGTACAGGTGCGGGAAAAACGTCAATTATCGCAGCACTAATGCGTGTTGCACCATTAAGTGGAGGTGAAATTACACTGGATTGCGTCAATTTGAAAACACTAGCTCTACGTACTTTACGTGATCGAGTTGGTGTTATACCACAGGAACCATTTTTATTCGAAGGTGAGTTCACTTTTCTTGCAAGTTTTTTTGAGGTGTATAAGTTTATTATATTATATATGATAAACCTATTAAGGTATTAAGTGATACGGCACTTGCGACACTCGACCGAAGGTATGAATCTGGTACTATAGGGGTCAGTGACCCGCAGCTTCGGTTGTGCTGACCAGTTGAATTTGGACTTGTAGTGACCGTGGTTAATATCCAAATTTACACTGGAAGAATGATTTCAGGTTTGTTTATCATTCGGCGTGGAGTTGCGTACCGAGTGCTGTGACCCAAAGATCAGCAGAGGTTAGTAGGTAGACCTCGCACCAAACCAAGGTGGAAGTTATGTTTGCACACATTTTATTATTGCTGCCGACGGAAATTTCTTTTGAAATCCCAATGGAGCGTTGATTGAGGCGTTGTATTAATACACGTGTTTTTGAACACCGTAATATTAAGCCCCCACGGCATAGAATGTCACATAAAATAACATAGAGACTACTACTACTAGTCTTGTGGTCTATGTTGCTGTTACTTGTTAAGAAAAAAAGTGACTGTTTTATTTTTAAATGTAGTGAATTTCTTTTATTAGTATATTCTTGACGGTATCTTAAGATCTTTTGTAGATGAAAACATTGTTTTTTCTGTGTCGTCTTCCAGTATATTGGTGGAAAGTTGTTGCCTGACTACTAAACTATTAATATTTTTATTTTATTTTAAACTATTATCTTTATATATTAATAATAAAAATTGTAATAAATGTTTGTATTCAATTACTTTAAAGGTACCGTGCGTGAAAATTTGGATCCAAGACATGTGTTTCATGATTCTGAAATTTGGCATGCACTTGCAAATTGTTCGGCCGCAACATTACTAGTGCAATCGTTGGGTGGTTTGGATGGATGTTTGGATAAAGGTGGTATAAATTTATCTGCAGGGCAAAAACAATTACTGTGCTTAGCACGGGCTTTGCTTAAGAACTCTAAAGTTGTGTGCGTCGATGAGGGCACTTCTAATTTGGATGATGATTCTGAAATAGCAATGCAACAATCACTACGAAATTCCTTTAAAAGTTCAACTGTACTCTTTATAGCGCATCGTTTAAGTGGTCTTCAAAATATGGATCGTATTATCGTAATGGAAAATGGAGAGATAAAAGAGGAGGGAACACCACAACAACTGGCAGAAAATGCACAATCACTTTTCCATGCAATGCTGCAAGCACAGTATATAAATCCTTCAGACTTTTATGAAAGTGAAGCATAAAATCATTATTTCTAGTTACTAAAAATAGAGTAGAGCTTTTTGACAAAAACAAAAAAAAAATATCAAATTTAGTTGTTATATATAATGTATTTAAATAATTATATATGTATTAAAAAATATTTAAAAGTAAATGTATCCTTTCGAGGCTGTGAGACTGCTAATAAAATAAAACCGAAATTTGTTAGACAAAATAGTAAAAATGCTTAAAAAGTTCATTCAATGCAAAATTTTATCTTTGTATTAATTTTTGATATCTTCTTTTTGTTCCATCACAAATTTATTTATTATATATAATTACAAATGTTTATATACGCTTTTTTCTATGTTACGTATGTAACATTAAATATATTTTAAGGAGCTTTTTTTTTAATTTTAGTTTTTTCATTTTGTCAAGTACAACTTTAAATTTTTTAATTATAAACTATATTTGTTAATTATTAAATACTTAACTGGATATAACCACATATGAAAAATAAAGTTTTTCAATATGATATAAGTCTTATATAGTAAATGTTGGTGTTTCTATTTTAATTGATCCAATATCCAAAATCTAAAACAAAATGATCCAATATCCAAAATCTAAAACAAAATGATCTGATATCCAAACTCTAAATTAGAAAAAAAGCACGTATGTTGGATCCAGATCCCCTATACAGCCGAATAAGCATCGAATAAGCATCGTGGGTATCGTTAGAGAACAACAATACGATATTAGTCATATAAGTGTTAATGTTTCTATTTTAATTGATCTAATATCAAAAATCTAAAACAGAAAAAATAAGCACGTATGTTGAATCCAGATCCCCTTTCTGTACAACTGAATAAGCGCCATTCGTGGGTATCGTTAGAGATCTGACAATACGATATTAGTCATATAAGTGTTGGTGTTTCTATTTTAATTGATCCAATATCTAAAATCTAAAACAAAAAAAAATAAGCACATGTGTTGGATCCAGATCCTCTTTATGTACAGCCGAATAAGCGCCGTTCATAGGTATCGTTAGAGATCTAATAATACGATATTAGTCATTAGATTTTGACACAAAATTAACTTGGAAGCATCATATTTTTACAAAAAGAAAAGTACTTGGCATCTCACTTCGGGAGCTCTACTGGATACTGAACAAAAGGTTAAAACTCTCAATCGTAAATAAACTTCTTATCTACAAAGCTAAACTTAAACCAATCTGGACTTATGATATTAAACTCTGTGAAACTGCTGTATCTTCAAATAAAGAGATTATCCAACGATTCTAATCAAAAACCCTCAGAATAATCTCAAATGCTCCTAGATGAATTACACCGCGACTTCTATATCCCCGTAGTTAAGAATGTTATAAAAAGCCAAGCCAGTAATCATAAAATGCAATATCGAATGCAATATCATCCTAAACATTTTATAAGTAGAATTATAACAGAAGGAAGAATGTTCACACGGCTCCGCAAACAAACGCCACTGGAACTTTAATCTGTGGGCGACTTCAACGGACAGATGTGCTACTGAGCACAGTCCATTTAAGCCCACAAAAAGGTTAAGTATTTAGTCACTTACTCTTAAATATTGTTCATTGTCTCTTCTTAAGTGACAAATCGCAATAAAGAAAATAAATAAATTAAAAAAAAAGAGTGTATTTGGAAGCTTATACAACATTAAATGAATTGGTTAAATTTTTGTTAAATGTATACTATAGTAAGTTTATTAAATAGGTTATTTGATATTTGTATGAAATTAGATTTATTAATATCGTTAAAAAAAATTTCCTACCTCCACATAATTTGTCCAGTGTACACTACGGCTAAAAAACTTGAACACTATTGCGAATGACATTCATACATCATACATTTTTTTGTAGATTTTTTTTCAGCTGTCAAAAAGGCACCTGCAAATTGAAAACAATTATAATATCCAAAGGTTTTTATAAATATTAATGTAAATAAAATAGATGATGCTTGAGTTTGATGAAATAATTAATGTATGAAAATTCATTATACATAAGATTTAGCAAGAAAAATGAGCGACGATGCAGTACTGCAAGAAGAAATCAGTGACAACAAAAACAGAAATGAAGTTCGGTGCGTTTTCTGTAATTCATTAATGCTACGTGAAAAACAAGGTGAATACGTAGAAGAGACAGTAAGTTTACATATTTATATGATATTCTTATTAATAAGTATTATCTGTTGTTTGTATGAAAAAATTGACTTTCTTTCAATTTCATGTTAACGCTGTACTAAAACGCCCTTTCCAGTTCGAACTGCCGCTCGTACATCAGAAACATGCCAAAGATATTAAAACAATTGAAACAGAAAAGCATCATCATTTTTGGCTTGTTTATGATATGTTTCATTTTGAGAATATTGGCTTCTCGAATACAGTGGACACTATAAAATACTTGATATGCGCAGACTGTGATATGGGTCCAGTTGGCTACCATGATATTGAAAATAAAAAATGCTATATTGCATTGAAGCGAGTCCGGCACGGGAATGCACCACCGGATGTCGCTGCAATAAAATCAGTTTAGCTAAACTGCTTATGCTTTACTAATAATTACGGGTCCGAAAGCCTTTTAAGGTGCATACAACGCTTGACGTATTATAAATTTATTTTATACACAACTAAAAGCAAAACTGAACAAAATTTATGCGTTAAATTTACAGTGTACGTTTTTATATTCAAAATAAATTTGCTTGAAATTGTGTTGCTATATTTAAGCAAAAACAAAAAAAAAAACAGGAAAAAAAATATTTCTAGCCATAATTCAGTTAACGTAATTCAGACGATTTAATATAGATTCATTAATGGGAAGTAGTAGGAGATTATTGAAAGATTTTCGACAAACAATCTCACAGACTAAACAAGCTGAGCTCATCACTTTTGTCTTCTAATTCCATTTTTATGACTGTAGTAAAAAATTCTTGGAATATTTTTAAAAAATGCAGAATAAGACAATATGAACGACGTCATCACTTTTATCTCTTCATTGCATATTTATTAGTTTACGGGTTAAATTCTTATAATTTACAACTTTACATAAATGAAGCTGATTGCTCGCGTTTATATGTTATTATTATTGTAGTTTAGGCTATGTCTGCACTACGATATATGACGGTCTTGTGTGCAGGGTTTTTAATTTATTAAAACTAATACTTTGGGATATACGATTTTTAGGTATCTGGTATTTAGGTATCTACTTAATCTCTTCTTAAAAAATGGATTCGGTTTTTTTTTCATTCGAGGATTTTTTAAAATCTTGGTCTTACAATCCCAACTACGTCCCGCAAGCCACTGGACGCAAGCACGCTTCAAGTGTGTTGGACGTACGTTCATTTCGTGGTTCAAATATCGACTCAGACCACTACTTTGTCGCAGTCAAGGTACGCATTAGGCTTAGTACCGTCAACAACATACACTCCCGTGCAAAAAAAAAAACTTAACGTCGTTAAGCTGCAATCACAAGAGACAGCCGAAGTTTTTGCCACTTAACTGCGGTCCAGATAATGCCGGTAGACAATGGGGACATATCTGTTATTCTCTACGCACAACCGTGCGTGAACAATCGGGCGCGGGAGATGAGAAACATAGAGAGGCGTCTATTCAGGCGAAGGAAACGAGAATAAGAAAGGCGCGAGCGAAAGCAAATCGAGGTGTGAGGGAACAGGAACAGGATGTCTGTAAATTTTATCAAAAAGTCAATAATCTGACTCAAGGCTTTTAGTCTGGTGCATCAATCTGTAAGGACGAAAATGGTAATCTGGTTACAGATACACAAAGTGTACTGAACGTATGGAAGGAACATTTCTTCAAGCTACTATCTGGCGATGATATGATCAATTCTTTTATTGAAGAAATGCTCTCGGAGTCCCAAATCGAAAATGATGGTGTTGAAATGTCACCACGTAGCCATAACGAAATGTGTGTTGCTATACAGTGACTAAAGAACAACAAAGCGGCAGATGCAGATGGCCTAACTGCGGAATTGTTTAAGGTCGACGGCGATATGCTGATAGGGTGCATGCATCAGCTTATCTACAGAATATGATCAGTACCATTTGTCGTGTTTTGAAAAAAGGTAATCCGACGATTTGCGCGGAATCAGCTTAATCCCTATCGCGTACAAGATTCTTTTAACTATGCTGTGTGAAAGGTTGAAGCCTGGTGTGTGGCTTTTTTTACTAACTGATTGGGTCTTATCAGTACGACTTTTCTCCTGGTCACTCTACCATTGTCATATCACTGTCAAACACTCACGAACTTTTTGTCGATTATAAAGCAGGTATCGATACTTCTTAAGGGATCGCGTTTAGGCTGCAAAGCCTGAGCTTAGTATCCTCGCAAAATTAATACGACTCTGCAGAATGACGTTCAGCAATACCCGCAGTTCCGACAACGTAGAATGGAGTCTCTCCGAACCTTTTGCTACCTGCGAGGTTTTAGACAAGGTGATGTCTTATCATGTGGTCATTTCAATTTCGTAATGGAAGTGATCATGCGCAGGGCAGGTGTTCATCGTAATGGAACAATGGGGTTTGTGAAAGGGCATAATTTCTATTTTACTTTCCATCTTTCCAGTATACGGAAATGAATGTCAATCATTTCGTAGTCTTCTTTAAAGATTCTATTTAATAATAAATTTGTTAGTTCACATCATTAAAAATCTTTAAAAATTTTGATAGATGCTTGTAGTATGGCGTTTCAGTTAAATACATTTTTTTAGGCCTAATATTCGCGATAAAATTAAGGTCTCAAACTATTCTTTGTAATCAAATATCAGGTTTCAACAACGGCTGGATTTGCTCGGTTTACGAATCAAGCAAATTTAGCCAGAAATAGTGGAACGATACGACCTATGAGATCAGTAACTTATAAACTTATGATTTTTCAGCTTTAGATGATGCCGGATGTACGTCTTGTCAGTCAATATTAACCAAAATCTTCTTAGTGTCCTAATCAGTAGACAACAGAAACAATTCTTTCAATCAGTAAGAAATATTGTGCTATTAAATTTTGCATATTATTTCTATGTAATAATATTTTCATAATGTTCTTCATTCCAAACAAATTTTGATTTAAGAATTTCAATTTTCATCAAAAAAATCTAAGAAAGTAGATTAGATAGTAGACCGATACTCTCAGTTGGTTCCGTTTTAATTAAAGCAGCCGACTAGTAGAAGTTTTGTCTAAATTGACAACGTCAATCTTGTGCTTTTGATAAAAATGTTCATTAATCCAGAATTTTCTTGCTAACTCTTTATATATAAATTTAATTGCCAGTTAAATCATTGTAAGTGCAGGGAGTCCCGGTTTTCTGGAACTACAAGAAAAGCTGTTGTTACGTTTACCAAAGATTTAATTACAACTTAGCTGTCCGAGAAATTTTGACCGAAATCGATTGGTCCAGTATCCACTTTGTTGCCATTATGGTGAATTGCTATTATATCTACTTGAAAGAAATTGCAATTCTTGGACAGTTGAGGCAAGATCTGGTTTAGTGTGGAGTCGTCAGTGTAAACTTTAACCCTAACAGCAGAAACTACTTTATCTTTAATTCAGTATAATCTGCTTGGCAAGAGAAGGCCTAATTCCTAAGCTAAGAAATAGCAAATCCTGTTTTAATTCCAGAATATTAGAATGCTCTATTTCCACTCAGGACCAGAGGTTTAGAATTGAAATATTGACTAGAGGTTTAGAACAACATGGTTTATTGTTTATACGAGTAACTATATAATATAATTTAATGTTTTATTTATTTCTTTTTTAACTAAAGTTGTAAATAACCGCCTTATATGTTTTCAAGAGCATTTATAATAATGCTTCGCCCTGAGGAAGAAGTCAAACAAACTTCGGAACGTCGGCAATAGTTATATAGAAAACTATATAATAATAAAAACAAAATAAAAACCAATATATAATCTATAAGCTTTTTATAGTTTTTTATTTTAATTTTCGATTTAAATCCTTTAATTTTTAGTTGCCGGAATACCGCACAACAAATAATTGGTTAATCGATTATAATCTGAAGCAGTATCTCACTCAGTTTTTTTAGTGAATGGCTCAGATGCAATGCATTGATGTTGGGCTCCTCGTTCAGCAAAGTAATCACCCCTTTTGCAGCATTCGTGCTACGGAACCTACCATTAAGTCAACTCATTACTTTGCCCCAGTTCATTAAGCACCGATATACTGCTACTCAGCTTGTCTGAATGGATATTTGGAAAGAGTTAAAGTCCAGTGAGATATAAAGTTAAATATCGCTCCATTTTTCTTCCTCTCAGACATTTACTTGGTACTCTTAGTATACTCATGTTGTAATAAGCAGGATATAATAAGTAAAAATATGTAAAAAAATAAAAATATTTTTATTTAATATATTAAATAAAAAATAATAAATAAAAAATAAAATAAAAATATGTACGCATATTTTTGGTTTTTGTTTTTTATTTATTTTATTTTAAATTTATTTAATTTAATTACTACAATTATTAGGCTTTTTAAATTATGTTTTTATTTTCACATTAAATTCAAAATTGTTTAATCATTTATTTAATGTTTGTTTTTTATTTCACATTTTGGCTTTAAATTTTTTTTTTTGACTACATTTTTTATTTTAATTATTAATTAATTTATTTTTTTGTTTTTTTTTTTTTGTGGTACCAATACGAAAAATATTATCAATCACTTAACACACTTTGCATTAAATAAAAAAACAATTATCAAAAAAATATGAAAAAAAAATATTTTGTAACAAAATAAATTATTTGAGCGAGTTTTATATTTAATTATATTTTCTTATTTAAGTTTTAATTAATTTAAATATATAATAATATTTTCTGTCTTTTATTTGTGTTTTATAGGAGTAATGCGCTGAAGCCGTAAATGCTTGAAGTGTTGAAGTGTGGAAGTCTCAAAGAAGAGGGGCTGGGTATTTTTTTTATTTTTATATATTTTTATTATTTAACAATTAATTTTAGTTTTAATGTGATTTTGTCTTAAAGGTTTTTTAATTTTATTGTTCTTAAATTTATTGAAGTAGTTTTATTAAACAATATTAATGAATTTGATTTAATAATATTGTTGTTTGTATTATTTAATTTATTAATTACAACAAACTATTAATTAATTACTCAAATAAATTAAATAAATTAATTTAATTAGCTTAATGTATATTTAAACATATTTGATTTTCATATTTTAATTATACAATAATGTAAAATTTTTTAATTTATTTGATGTACTTGCGGTTTACGTTAAATATTGTACTTTATTTTTATAAGAATGACTTATAAATAACAGATATATATGCAATATAAATCCATATAAATGATAATTATTTTAATTATCTTGTAATTATTATTGAATACTGTTGATTACGAGGTGCTATATAACTCTGCTTTTATTTAATTACAATTTAATTACCATAACAAATTTTCTGTTTCATATAAACAAAATATAATAACAACTTGAAAAGTATATAAGTAAATCAAATAAATTTTAAAACTTTAACTACTACATAAATTTAAATTTTTTTTTACTAAAATAATCAAATTTAGTTATAAATTTTATTGCAATTGACTAAATAAATTAATCATTGTAATTTAATCAAATTATGATCAAACTCTATTATACTATAAATGTATTATGCATTAAAATCAAATTTAAATAAATGTTTTACTTCAATTACTTGTGATTCTGTTAATAATATGTAATATATTATTTATTTAATAAAAAAATTATATTAAATCAAATATAAATATTATTATAACTCTTTTTATTATTAATATAACATTTTTATTAAAATATTTAAAATAATTAAATTGGTTTTACGTATTTTAAAAATATTTTACTATTATTTTAATTAAATTCATGTAATAATTAAATTAATTTTTGTTGTAATATAATTTTAAATATTATAAATAAATAAAACTATGCAATGTAATATATAACTTAACATAATTTTTTTAATAAAAAAGTAATATTAAGTTAAATAAATTTAAATATAATTTTATTAATATTAGTATAACATTTTTATTAAAATAATTAAATTAGTTTTAAATATTTTAATATTACTAAAAACATTAAATCAAATTAATTTCTTGTAATAATTAAATTAATTTTTGTTGTAATATAATTTTAAATATTATAAATAAATAAAATTATGCAATACAATATATAACTTAATATAATTTTTTTAATAAAAAAGTAATATTAAGTTAAATAAAATTAAATATAATTTTATTTTTTTAAATATAATTTAATATAACATATTTATTGAAATAAGATAATTAAATTTTAAAAATATTTTAATTTTATTATAAACACTAAATCAAATTAATTTCTTGTGCTAATTAAATTAATTTTTGTTGTAATATAATTTTAAATATTATAAATAAATAAAATTACGCAATATTTGGTAAGTTATTATTAGTTAAACTATTTTTATTTTAAATATATATTAGTTTGAATTATTAAAAAACAATCTCTAAATTAATTTTAATTATATTGTATTTAAATTTAATACTTTTAGTTTTTCTATTTGCTACAACCCCTCTTCTCTTCAGAAAATTGTTGATAAATCAAACTTAAAAAAAAAAAAAAAAATTTAATACAGAATTATTTAAAATTGTATATTTTAATTAAAATGAAATTTAAAAATTAATTTGAGTTTGTTTTTTGTTTTAATGTTGGCAGTTGGTTAAGTGTAATTTTTTTTCTTTTTTGGTTTAAATGTGCGTGAGTAGGCGTGTCTATGTAACTTGGTGTGCGTTAGCAAATTCATTTACTTTTTCACTAAAAAATGTATTTCCCATGAGTTTTATTTTGTTTTAATTTAAGTATTTTCTATATAACGTTTATTTTTTTTTTAAGGTCAAGCAATATTTTACTGATTATTGTTTTATTCTTATTTTAATTTAAGTGTAAAATTATTAAATTCTTTAGCCTAGAATTTCAATACTAAACGCTTGAACATTATTTCAATATTAATTAATTATGTTAATTAATTAATATTTAATTTGGTTTTGGTTTGTCTTTTTGTTTTTGGTTTTTTAACTGAAGTAATTTTTTCTTCTTTTTTAAATAGTATTTAATATTTGTTTTGGTTTTAGTTGTGGTTGTTGTTTCATCAATTTTCCGTTTTAATTTTTTTTAAACTACAATTAATTTTTGGTATTAGCTGTCTTCATTTCTGTATATTTGCAGTTATATTCTCTTAAATAATTTAATTAATAAAATTATTTAATAAATTTGTTTAAACTTAAAAGTTCATTATTAATTGTATTATAATTTTAAATTTGCGTTTGGTTTATCAAATTAATTTTGATTTGTATATATAAGTTTTTTGTTTTTTAAATATATTCAACTATTCAATAAATTTTTTCTTTTATGCGGTAGGTTGCAATTTATTTAAATTTATTTTATTTATTTTTTTTATTTATATATAAATTTTAATACTTTCAATTACCTTATATTTGCTTTTTTGTAATATATTCATACATATATATACATCTACACATATATATGTATATTAACAAAAATGTTCGAGAAAAGCTTTTATTGTTTCTGTAGTTTTGCTTGTTTTTTTTTATAAATAAAATTGTCCTATTTTTAATTCTTACGCTAAAAAATTTAATATAACAATTATTTAAAAACTATATAAATTTTTTTATTTCATACTATGTTGGTTTTCATATTTCTTGTATTATTCAAAAATACATCAATTTAATTCAATTTTTCAGCCAATGTTGTCACTATTATTTACAAAATTTCTTTTGCATAATTATTTTTAATTTTTTGCTATTTCATTATTGGGTATCATCATTTTAATTTTATATAACTTTTTTGTTTTCTATTAATCTTTATTGCTATTGTGCACCGATTTCGCTTCCTTTCTTTATATTCAATTATAGTCTATGCTTTCTTCGGCATTCCTTGGGGTAATTTGAGTCCTTTTGTCACAATCGACTGAAAGTAAGAGAAACTTATATTAATCGATTTGTTTTGTTAACATAAAAATATATAAATAAATTCAAGCTCATTTAATTTATTTTATATATTTAAGCATATATTATTTTGTTTGCTATTACTATATATACCAATTTAGCAATAGATTTACTTATATATTTATTTATTATTTTATAATAATAAATTATAAAGAATAATAAATTAATAAAAAATTTTCTTATATATATTTTTTATATATATATTTTTTTTATATATTTTTACTATATTTTATTTTATATAAATTTTAAATTTTATAATAATAAATGATAAAGAATAAAAAATTAATTATAAATTCTCATATATATTTATTTTTATATATTTTTACTATATTTTATTTTATATAAATTTTATAATAATAAATTATAAAATATAATACATTTTTTATATATATTTATTTTTATATTTTTACTTTATTTTATTTTATATAAATTTTATAATAATAAATTATAAAGTATAATAAATTAATAATAAATTTCCTATATACCATATATATTTTTTTTATATGTTCTTACTATATTTTATTTGATATAAATTTTATAATAATAAATTATAAAGTATAATATTATTTTTTTTATATTTAAATCTTTTATAAGTTATATTTTATTGGTTTATATTAGTTTTTCTTTAATAGTATTTTTCTCAGTTATAATATATATATTTTACTTTATTTTTTTTTTTGTTTTTATTTTCACTAAATATATGTTACTATTTAAATTAATTTTATTTATTTAGTTCCATTTTATTATTTTAATTTTGTAATTATTTCTTTTAATTTGTTTTTTATTTCAATATATTTTATTCTGCATTTTAATTCATTGTTGTTTATTTTATTTAATTTAATTTTATTTATTTACTATATTTTATTGTTTTATTTAAATTATTCTTTTATTTTATTTTATTCAATTTTTTTCGTTTCATTATATTTTATTTTATTTATGTTTATATATTTTTATTATTTCATTTTATATGTTATTTTAATTAATTATATTTGTTTTTTTTAACTAAATTTTATTATTTATTATATTTCATTATTTTATTATATTATTCTGATGTTTTATTAATAAGATTTTACTCAAATTTATATTTTTTTATTTAGTTGTTATACATTATTATTTTATTTTAATGATTTTGTTATTATGTTTTGTTTTACCTTTTTTTTATTTCAATTTGTGTTATTTTTTTATTTCACCATATTATTTTCATCATTTTAAATTTAATTTTATTTATTTATTATATTTCATAATTTTGTTGTTATTATTTTATGATTACTTTATTTATTATTTTGACATTTTTATATTTTGTATAATTGTATATTATTTCATTTTTATTTCTAACTTACTTTATTATTTTAATTTATTATTGTTTATCCTATTAAATTTAATTTTATTTATTTATTATATATCATAATTTTGTTGTTATTTTATTATTATTTTATTTATTATTTTAGTATTATTTTGAAATTTTTATATTTTGTTTAATTATATATTATTTTATTTTTGTATTCTAACTTACTCTGTTATTTTAATTTATTATTGTTTATCTTATTAAATTTAATTTTATTTATTTATTATATATCATAATTTTGTTGTTATTTTATTATTATTTTATTTATTATTTTAAAATTATTTTGACATTTTTATATTTTGTATAATTATATATTATTTTATTTTTATTTCTAACTTACTTTATTATTTTAATTTATTATTGTTTATTTTATTAAATTTAATTTTTTTTATATATTATATATCATAATTTTGTTGTTATTTTATTATTATTTTATTTATTATTTTAGTATTATTTTGACATTTTTATATTTTGTTTAATTATATATTATTTTATTTTTGTATTCTAACTTACTTTGTTATTTTAATTTATTATTGTTTATCTTATTAAATTTAATTTTATTTATTTATAATATTTCGTGATTTTGTTGTATTCTTTTGATATTGTTTAACTAAAAATTTTTGTTGAATTATATATTTTTGTGTCTTTATATTCTAACTTATTTTATTATTTTTTTTGATTTTATTTTATAAATTATTGTTTTAATATACTAATACTACAATATTTATGTTTTTAATTTTATTTTTTTATATCTTTGTTTTATTTTATTTAATTAGTTATGTTTTTCTTTTCATTAAATTATTATAGTTTTTTTTAAACTAATCATAAATTTGGGCGGAAATGAAAGGATGATACCGGAAAGGAAATTTGGACCATCTATAAGTTAAACGCGGCCCTATGCTCTTTCTAGGAGTTAAAGGATTAAATATATATATAAGTTAAACTACAGTTTCAGAACAGGCTATAAGTTATAATTAATAGTAAAAGGACCTTAGCATGCAGATCCCTCCTTTTGCAAGAGAGGAAAGGTTTAATCGGGGATCTCAACAATAAACTTAATATTTATCAGAACTTACCTTTTAAAGAAAACAAAAATTTTATTATATCCCAGATGTGTTAACCTTCTTCTTTTCTCTTATAAATACATGTGTATATGTGTATGTGCTGTTATCTGCGTTTGTGTCATATATGAATGTGTATATTTGTATTTGTGTGTACTATTAAATCTATATATTTTTAGTATTTATTTTTATATTTGAAAAAAATGTCAATATCAGTGTAATTTGGTTAAACTGCTTATAGACTAAATATTTAAACAAAAGAAGGAAATTTATTAAAATTTAAAAATGAAGAAAAAATTTTGCAAGACAGTTTTTAAAAAAAAATATGCGAAAAATCCAATACAGAAACATTTGAATAAAATATTGAACCAAATACAAAAAATATTTCAACAATTTGTGAATTTATTGTTTAAATGTCTGTTTGGTTGTCAGTGTAGATTGAGAAGTGTTGGAACCAAATTAGACAAGAAAATGTTTCAGCAACAGAGCAGCACCACAGAATATGGAAGTTGCCATTGCTACGCTTAGCGCACTGGCGCCATTGCAATTGTCCTTGTCACAGGAGCAGACGACTTGTCGGCCACCGAAACCGGCACGCTGATAACAATAGTTTATTGAAGTCTGATTTTGGAAGCCACACGTACGAATTACACGACTATCTGGTGGTACTGCAAGTAAGAAAAACAATACATTAAACATATTTAAAAAAAGAGTGAGAGAGAGAGAAAAAGAGAGAGAGAGAGGAATATATTACATGGATCATTACTTACAATTATTTACAGAGAACTCGATAATTTGTGTTATTTTGCGGCAATATGTAGGTATGCCTTTACCGCGTGTTGAATAATCCTCTTGGCAGTCCATTATCAGATTATCCGGCGGTGTATCCAGTGCACAATTGAGATCCTTATGACTATTACACACGTAACATTTGATGGCGGCACCTGTAAAATGAACACAAATAGAAATTTCTTATTAGTTATTTATTTTTTATGTTTACTTTAAAAGATTTTATAAATTTGAACAGAAGAAACTGAATTTCAGTTCAGTGCTCATCGGGCATTGCATGGTATTATAGTATCATCAGCCCAATGTAGAAGAGGTCCAAGAAAATAAGAAGACTTAGCAAGAATTTGGTTCAAGAGATCCGAAGAAATGAAACCACTTCATGGTATATTGTTGCCTGAACAAAAACTGAAAATGGGAGAGATTATAAAAGCAAGTATTATATGGATTTCGTTTTTCCATGATAAGTTTGGTAGGAAAAGTTTGTACAAGAATTACCCATAAGTATCGAAAAAAATATATATTGAAATATATTGAAATATTGGATTGAGGCAGACTATATTATATATATATTATTTAATAAAGATAATTCATTGAAAAAATGTAGTCTTCTAATCCATGTTCAAAGTTCGAATTTCCTTAACTTTATTAAATTGGAAAACTTTTCAGTATAACAGTATACATACAGAAAATATTAGCACATATGAACGAACCAGCCAATAGGATGTTTAGACGGGCGAGTATTATGCAGTCACAAATTCATAAATTTTGCAATCTATGTTACCATCGAAGCTAGCAAAATAATAATAATATAAAAATGGTTTTGTTTATATTTTTAATCTGGCTGTAGGTCCCTTCTTGTTAAATAATTCAACGTTTAATATTTTTTATTATACTTTATATTTTTTGTTATACTTTAATATTGCGCTATAGACGATAGAACAAAGAGGATGACGTATATGTAGTTTTAATAATATTAACTTATAGTAGATCGTAATCCTGATGATTACTCTCAAGGAGAGTCGAAATATAGAGTATAAAAAAATATTACACGTTGAATTATTTAACAAGAAAGGACCTACAGCCAGATTAAAAATATATAAAAAATCATTTTAATTAATGGGGCGAAAAATGCATTTAAAAAATTTTATAAAATAAAAATTTTTAATTAAAATGCACAAGTTTATTTATTATACATTATAGTGAATTATGTATTTTAACTGTATATGTCGAAAAAATAATAAAATATGTTGCATTATAGACGGAATATTCTTGAGTAAAAAATATTCAAGTGCAAAAATGTATTAAGAATCAAGTTAGAGATATGTACTGGACATAAAATCACAGGCTATGATGACAAGCTATTAATAAAAACTAATTATTATTAAAATATTGAAGATGTATTATTCCAAGTTTTTTTTTTCAAGAACATGCTTCTTTAACGCACTTTACTTTAGTTGATATTAAAAATGAACTGCATTTATTTCTAATTAGTTATTGTAGTTTAAAGATTTAAAATAGTCATCGATAAAAGTTAATCTTTTTAATGAAAAAAATATTTAATCATTTAAAACATCTAATTTTTCTCAATAATTTTATAATTAATATAATTCATATGTTGTTTCTACGGATTAACACTCCATACCACTGGAAATATTGTAAGGGGTCGTGATGTGGACTTTCCAAAATTCATAAATACAAGAAATTATGTTCAATCTTATGTCTTTAACTTCACCAACAAAAAAAAAATATTAATTTAAAAATTGCATTATTGCAATATTTATACGAAATTTCCATTTAACCAAATGAGATTCTTAGTAATATAAAAACATCTTATGATCAATATTATAAGGCCAATATAAATTCATTAAATTAATTATTTATTCTATTAAAATATTTACGCCTATTTGTAAAATTTATTTGCTATAAATGAAAAATGTGTATTAACCCAATGAGAATTATAATTGAACGGACATGAAATTATATGTGTTTGTATAGGTATGTGTGCATACATATGCGATAGGTTTTAAAAGTGAATTATAATTCCATAATACATGGCAATAAAAAAAAAACATGATTCATTGAATAGGTTTAAAATTAAGAATAGTTTTGATATTGAGGAGTAAAGTATAATTTAAACCTCAACTAAATGCACATAGGGAAATTATAGATGTTAGTTTAGTATCAAATCACATACATATATGAAATGTTAATAATTTATTTGTAATTGATTTACTGATTGCACTGATTTCTATCAGAATGCTTTTGCTTGTTCGTATTAATGTATATGTTTTTTAATACAGTAATACAGTAATTTGGATATATAGGGTTAGGCGTTTGAGGTGTTACTAACTACACACAGGTACATATGTATATCTATCAAACTGATATTGTCCACTACGTAAAATTCATACGAACTACAGCTGTTTACTTTATTTACGAGCTACCACAAACTATAATAGAACAAACTATATATAACAAATTATATAATAGTGTGATTGCGTTATATGGTATTTAGCTGGAAAATCATAAACAGCTATTGTTCGTAAGCTCAAACACCTTAAAGTGAATACAATTTATTTATTTGTGAGTTAACATTAAAATTAATTTTCATGTTAACTAAAAATAAGAAACTGGACTGCTAGGTCTTTGGCTCTGGGGTGAATTATATGTTTGTGCATCGTACCATAAATTGTTAAAACAGTTAAAACAATAACACCTGAAATAGTTGGGAAAGTACTTACTAGTTCCTCTCTTCTTTTTATTTTGGTATACAGTAATACTTCCATTCTTCTTTGATTCAGAATTTCTTTTCAAATGTATAGAAGGAAACCCATTTTTAAAAATAATGGATTTTTAGTATTAGTATTTTTTTTCGGGCTGCAAATGTGTGAAAATTTTTCCATAATCCTTTATTTTGTATGCATCAAATTCTTTTTTATATTTTTTTAATTAATTAAAATTTTAGTTGACTATATAATCTTTAGTATTGACAAATACCCATTATCAGTAGTCTTGGAAATAATTCTTGTATTTATATAATCGTAAATAATTTTCTTAATTAATTATTAACTGCAAGTACCAGAAATTGAACTTGTGCCCTGCCAAATTTGAAGCTCAGAGTCAGTGCACCTTAAGCAGCTGACCAAAAGCCGTACTTGACTTTTACATTCGCACATTTTTCTAGAATTTTGTTACTTTGCTGTGAAAGTTTTATTAACAAATTCACTTGCTGTGTTTATATTAGAACGAAATCATAAACCAGCTGTACAATATTTGAATTAATTAATCATATTTTTTATTTCTTTTTTAATTGTTAAATTTTAATACTATATCAATGAATTTTGAGTGCTCTTTATGGATCAGGGTCCACAAAAAACTTCATTGGGACTAATTTTAACTTCAATTGTATTTTTACCAGCCAAAGTATTTATTTATATTCATTATTTTAAAAATATTTTAAGAACCATTTTATTAAAATTGATTTCAGTCAAGTAGTAATTGAGAAATTATTAGGTCTCCAAATTTTGACATATACATATATTATGAAAATCAGCGCTTGGAATTGGTAAGATAGATTTAATAATAATAAATAACAACAACTAGATCTATTTATTGTGTTGCAAATTAAAATAATAAACAACTGATCATTTACTTACACCCTTCGAAGGACTAATGGTCGTTGTGTTCTGAAAAGACAACTAGTCCTTTGAAGGATTATATCAGATAGGTGATGAAAATTGTATTTTAAACAATGTGCAATTGATATAATTAAATTATTTTTTATATTGACAACACTATAACTGGCTTTAGTTATTTGTTTTTTCAAGTAGTGTGAAATATTTTTTTTCACAATTTTGATAATCATTTATATATAACATACAGTAACCACAAAGGACGCCCCTCACAAATGGATATGAGTTTTCAACATCTCTTGTATCAATTATCCTTATTTCAAGCATCCTTTCACATCAAGCAATCCTTTCAGCAGATAACGTCATACATACTAATTTTCCGAGACATTTGCATGCATAGAAAAAGTTGCACACGGACTTGGCTAACATATAATCAGCTTAATAAGTCAGGAAGGAAAAGCATGAATTAAGGCGAGTATACAAACATCCAGTAAAATTTTGAACCTTTTAATAAAAGTTCAAAGGAAACTAATCTTGTTTTGTGAAATGAAATTAACAGTCATTTTTGAAAAGCAACTTTTATAAATTCCTTGCTCGGGCAGAAATAAACATATTATATGTACCACTCTCTCCCTAGGAGCTCCCTAGATGGAGAAGTAAAATATGGTATTGAAGTGTGTGTGTATCACATTTTTAATGCAGTTGTTGTTGCATTTGGAAATGCATTAGATTGTTAATAATTTATGCACAATAATGCCTACAGTAACAATTAGGAAAATATTTATGCCGGAAAGGAAGTCTACCGATTGTCCAACAGAAAATGAGGTTCACGCTACGCTCTAAAAGCATTTCTCCCTCAAACTCTCAGTTATAGCTATGGTTGCTGTTATTGTTGGCATTTACATAAATATTCCTAAATGGCAGGCATATAAATCCTTCTATACATGCTTTTAACTGGGCGCAGGTTTTTATATCAATGCTCCGTTTGTAATCATAAATTGGCACTCGTTGCAGTAGACGTTTTCATTTCAGTTGGAGTGGAAAATTGAATGAAATTATCAAGATCTAAATGTAGTTTGCTACTATCAATAGAAAATAGAATAGAATAAATAGGGAATAAGAAAGAAAATTATAAATGCACATCATAAGATAAACATAGTACATTGTAAATTTTTAGCTCCAACGTAATTGACACTCCTATGAAAAATTATTTATGGCATAAATTTCAAATAAAAAAATTTAATTTCATTAATAAGGAGTGTTTACAATTGATGCAAAATGTGTGTGGAAAAAAATCCTTAATTAAAGAATCGAAAAAAAAAATTGTTATATGAAAGAGAAAGAATTTTCAATCCTAAAGATTTGGTATACAAAACAAAACTCTATCTGGAAAAACAAAACAATTGCTTTTTTCTGTAAAAACATAACGTCTGTATCGGTCTGCTTCGGCAAATATCGAATAGATTTATACCATAAATATCTAGCAGAAAAACCTTGCTTCAATCTCATTTAGTATATTCCTG